AGCACTCAGGGGCCTGAGGCAGGAGAAGCACCTCAAATTCCATGCCAGCCAGAGCTACACAGTGAGTCCAAGGACAGTATGAACTATATAGCAAGACCCTGTCTCAAATGTGTGTGTGTGTGTGTGTGTGTGTGTGTGTGTGTGTGTGTATACATACACACACACACATATAAAAAAGCTGGGTGTGGTAGCACACACCTGCAATCCTAGCACTTGGCAGGCTGAGGCAGGAGGATTGCCATGAGTTTGAGACCAGCCTGATCTACCTAGTGTCTCAAAAAAAAAAAGAATACAGCTCATTGATCTTTGGGAACCTACATATGGCTGCAAAGCAGCAACACTAGCAATTAAATAGGAAAAGCAATAAGCAAACTTTCTGGTTTACTGACAGTAGCTACAGACCCTTCAGATTTCTTAAAAACATGTCTACCCTCTCAGTTTACCTCAGCTTACAATCTGCACACGTGGACACCACTCTGTTACCAGTAACAGGTGAGAAGTAGGCGGAAGCAATGCTCTTCGTGTGTTCAGTCAGAGAGATCAAAGGTTGACTTGCCCTGGAATTCAGGTGCCTGGCATCATAAACATGAACATCCCTGTGGTAGAGAAATAATGATCAATGTCATCACAGTGCATGCAATGTGTTGTAGAACAGGGCTGAACGTAAGCTAGACACTCAAATATCTGCCCCTCTGAAGAACATTTTAGCGAGCACCCTCTAATCTTTTTAGAGCAACTTCACTTTTTTTGAAATTTTTTTTCTGCACAAATGATTCGCTCAAACATTTTTATACCCAATACTTTCTTACCAGTAAAACACTAGCCAGGCATGTTATCCCAGCACTCAGGAGGCTGAGGCAGAAGGATCACTGCAAGTTCAAGGCCAGCCTCAGCTACATAGTGAGTTCAAAGTCAACCTGAACTACATAGCTAGACCCTATTTCAACAAACCAAACAGCAAAACAAAACAAACAATGAACATTCAAAATCATCAGTCTTTCATTTTTTCCTGTGATAACACTGATAAGACTTTGAAATGTTTCTCTAGAGAAACCACTTTGAAGATATCAATATGTCATACAACAA